GTGTGTGTGTGTGTGTGTGTGTGTGTGTGTGTGTGTGTGTGTGTGTGTGTGTGTGTGTGTGTGTGTGTGTGTGTGTGTGTGTGTGTGTGAGATTGTCCGTATGTGGCTGTGTATACGTATTGGTGCGGGCATAGTGTCGCGGAAAGAAAAATTGGATCGGCCGGAAGTATTTTAATATCTCCAAAAGTGAATCCCGAAAGTGAATAAGTATCTCCCACATTTTTTGTGTTTCTTCAACATGGCCGAGTGGACCAAGTTTAACAATGGAGACAAATCGAGTCAATTTGACGAACGAACGAATAACGATACGACCGTGAGGCAGTCGTATATCGAAACGAACGACGATGAGATTAATAACCAAGATTCATGCGTGATAAGTGACCGAACCGATTTCGATTGCGATCATAATCGTCGTGAGGAGACGATCACGGATTCGAGTTTGTTTCGGGAATCGGAGCGCGTCGATAACTTCCGAAACAACTCGGGACCACAGGAAAATGCGCGAAAGGAAGAAGAAGTAAGATTCGTGGAGAACGAGCCGGAACGAACGGAGGAAACGGGCTCAAGGATACGTCGAGAAGCTCGACAAGAGCTGAGAGATGCTTCTCAAAACTTGCAGAGTTCACCAAAGAGACCCAACAGCCTCTACAAAGAGGATCCGGTATCTAGTCCGCAAAAGTTGAAGAACGTTTTCAACGAAAGAGGTACAATTTTCAGTTCGCCTAATACCAGGATCCTGTCACCCAAGAGTCACTCGTCGACCGAGAAGAGTACCGAAAAACTCGTCAACGGCAAGTCACCCAAAGAGGACAAGCAGCAGCATCACGTGCAATTCAACAAGGAGTCTCAGAAGCAGCAGCTACGTCAAGCAGCTGAAGAAAGACCACATCCGAGTCCGTCAATTTCTACGTCTACTACGAGCAGTTCCGAAGATAATTCCAGCTTGGGACAGTTTTGCGAAGCGAGGCCACCCGACGGAGGTTGGGGCTGGGTCGTCGTAGCGGCCTCCTTCATGGTAAACTTGATCGCGGATGGTATTACTTTCTCCTTTGGCGTAATATATGTTGAGTTCCTTAATTATTTTGGCGAGGGCAAGTCCAAAACGGCGTGGATCGGCAGCCTCTTTATGGCGATGCCATTGCTATCGGGGCCGGTGGCAAGTTTTTTAACCGACCGATACGGATGTCGAAAAGTATCGGTAGCTGGTAGCATTCTGGCGACGGCTGGTTTCGTCGTGAGTTCCTACGCGAATTCTATGGAGGTACTCATCTTTACGTTCGGCATCGTAGCAGGTTTCGGTTTATCCTTGTGCTTCGTCGCGGCGGTGGTAATCGTGGCGTACTACTTTGACAAAAAGAGATCTTTCGCCACCGGTCTGTCGGTATGCGGCAGCGGAATCGGGACTTTTATTTTTGCGCCCGTCACGCAATATCTTCTGGCGGAGTACGGCTGGAGAGGAACCACGTTGATTCTGGCAGGATTGTTTTCGAATCTCGCCGTATGCGGCTGTTTGATGCGGGATCTCGAATGGACTACCATTAGAGCAAAAGCGAAAACCCAAGAAAGGAGAAAGAACCGAGAAAAAAAGAGATCTAAAATGCAGAGCTCCAGCGCAGATTCCTTCTCCGCCACTAGCTCTGCGAACACGAATACGCAAACGCCTCACGGTGATTCCAAGAGAGGTTTCGCGTCGGCTAATGCGATGATTATCGAGAATCTTCGGCCGCAGGATGGTGGAGACGAGGAGAGTGGTGAAAAGCTGTTCTCTAGTCTAGTGAATCTGCCTACGTTCGTCAAGAACGGAGAAAGAGTACCTCTGGAAGTGTTGGAACTACTCAGTACGAACAAAACCGTTTACAACGTCCTCCTGCAAAACTATCCGAGTCTCCTAATATCGTCGAGGAGTTTTAGCGATTCCGGTGCGCTGCACGATCAATTGAGTACACCCTCGGCTCGATTTATATCTACACCGAGCCCATTAGCCGAATTGCGAATTGAGGGAAAGGAAAGTTGCAAGAGCAACGGCGAGCGAATTTTGCGCAGCGAACAGCAACAGCAACAGCAACAGCAACAGCATCAATCGGTAGAACCGACATACTTATGGTGGTTGAAAAAATTGATTCCGATACTCCGTTGAGGCGATCTAGCACATTGGAACAACCAAGAAGACTGCCCACTGCCTATTTGAAGGATATCAGAATGCATAGGCATAGTTTAACATACAGAGGCGCCATGCTCAACATCAATCGATATCGCTTGAGAGCGTCGAGTTGCCCGGACATCTATCGAAATTCAATGACTACGATCGCTAAAACGAAGCTCGTCTGGTACGCTGGGTTCTGGGAATTTTGGGATTTGATTGTCGACATGCTAGATTTCTCGTACTTTGCCGATCCGAGGTTCCTGCTGTTCGCAGTCAGCAACTTTCTCTTGCACACGTGGTACGATGTGCCTTATGTCTATCTGACGGACAACGCGATCGAAGTTGGATTCAGCGAGACAGATGCGTCCATTCTGATCTCGGTGATCGGGATTGCGAACATGAGTGGTGAGGTGAGTGGCAGCGGCTGGATTTTGCTAGATGAACGCGAGCGCGACCATGGATCTTGTCCCAATCGTAGATCACAAATAGAGATCAAAGTGAATCTTTTTTGCAGATTTTTCTGGGTTGGGCCGGCGATAGAGCGTGGGTGAACGCGTCTATCGTCTACGCGGTATGCATGGCGCTCTGCGGTACCGTTACTGCTCTTATACCGATAGTCGTCAACGATTATTATACTCTATGTGCAATCTCTGGTGCCTTTGGATTATTCATCGCGGCAAATTACAGTCTCACCAGCATCATCCTTGTCGAGCTCATCACCTTAGAGAGGTTCACGAACGCTTATGGCCTTCTGTTACTCGTTCAAGGAATCGCCAATCTCATGGGCCCTCCTTTAGCTGGTAAACTCTCTCGAGCGCGAAACTTTATTACAAAATATTATTTTTATTATTTCACAAGCGTAAAGCAAATTAGCGTAAAGCAATTATAAATGATAAATGATAAATCGTGGAAAATAAATAGATTATCCTGAATAACGAAATGTGTGATTATAAATGAAAATAACTTGCGCTAAACAAATTCTAAAACTAAATGGTTTCCTTTTCAGGCTGGTTATACGATATCACGGGCACGTATGATCTGTCCTTCTACCTGGCGGGATTGTTCATTGCGTTAAGCGGCGCATTGTTACTAGTGATGCCTTTGATTAGTTTGTATCGAAAGTGTCGAAACGAATCTGGGGGAATATCCGTCGACAAGGATTTCAATGCGATAAACAATGTGTAAATATGATGATATTTATTGAACAAGCCAGAGATGAACGAGCATCGTCGGATATTTCATCGCAACATAGGAAATCGGAATATCCATCCGCGATATCAAGGGATATCGAAGGAATCGCAACACAGTTTGAAAAAAATTGCCATAGGCTTCTTAATTTCGTGCTAATGTCATTTTACATGTGACATGCTACACGTGAGTCGCACGAGCCGGCTGTGGTGTATTATATAGTTATAATTATAGTTTGTCGAAATGCGGATTTATCGACTTTCCGTAACGACTAATGTCAGCGACTCGAGAAATGTTAATTAAAAAAAAATGCGTGGCAAATCGCATCAGTAAAATTTCGGATTTGCGTCATCATCACCAATTGATGCTTTATCTTCGCAACCTTTGTAAAAATTATCAGATTGTTTGTGATCTTGTGATCTTGTTATATAATAGAAATTATTTCGTGTAAACTTTTTTTAAATATTTTATTTTAATATTAATAATACGTAGGCCAGTGCGTGCGTGCGTGCGTGCGTGCGTGCGTGCGTGCGTGCGTGCGTGCGTGCGTGCGT